CCAAGCGGGAAAGCGCCCCCAAAAAACAAAAAAAAAAAAAAAAAAAAAAAATGACTAATAATATTAATAATATGCCTGGGGGTGTTAAGGCTTGGCAGAGAAAGTAGTATTACAGCCAGGCTTGAAGGAAAGAATAATAAGAGTTAATAATTATTGGGACTTCCCTGGTGGTGCAGTGGTTAAGAATCCACCTGCCAACGCAGGGAACACAGATTTGATCCCTGGTCCAGGAGGATCCCACATGCCTCGAAGCAACTAAGCCCATGTGCCACAACTAATGAGCCCGTGTCCCACAACTACTGAGGCCTGCACACCTAGAACCCATGCTCCACAACAAGAGGAGCCATCGCAATGAGAAGCCTGAGCACCGCAACAAAGAGTAGCTCCCACTCAACACAACTAGAGAAAGACCGTGCACAGCAACAAAGACCCAATGCAACCAAAAATAAATAATTTTTTTTAAAGTTAATAATTATTGAACACAGGACTTCCAGGACTTCCCTGGTGGCACAGTGGTTAAGAATCCACCTGCCAGTGCAGGGGACACAGGTTCAAGCCCTGGTCCAGGAAGATCCCACATGCCACGGAGCAACTAAGCCCATGTGCCACAACTACTGAGCCCACACACCCAGAGCCCATGCTCCACAACAAGAGAAGCCACCCAATGCAGCCAAAATAAATAAGTAAAATTTAAGATAATAATTATTATTATCAAACACTTACTTTGGCCAGGTATTGTGCACATTCATCATCACATTATCTCTTCTTTATAGCTACTATTATTTTATCAATATTACTGATGAAGAATAGAAGCTTAGAGACTTTAAATAACTAGGATTTTCCCTAATAAAGGGAAAGCGTATTCCAGGTAGAGAAAATATGAGCACAGGCCCAGAGGAGAGAAGGCACATGGGCAAGTGAGGTGCCAATTATTTGGACAGTGCTTACCACTTTGCAAAACACTTCTAAAAATGCCACACTTAATCCTCAGAAAAACCCTGAGAGGTAGTAATTATCACCATTCTATGGATGCAGAAATAGGCTCAAAGAGGATATTTGCAGAGTGGTACATATCAAAGGTTGAACCTCTTTTTTCTGGATCTGAGGCAAGTGTTTTTCTGTTCATTGTCTCATCTCTAATGGACCTTGTACCTGAAAACAATGGTCCAATAATAAGTAAGGGACCCATTGAGGAGTCCTCTCACCCAATGGGTCCCCTATGGGCCTCTGCAGTCTGTAGCCGTGGAGAAGCTATGGAGTAGTGTTTTTCTTTGTGTGAGGTTACCCAATGACTTTTGACCATCTTACTAAGTAAGTAATACCCAAGAAAAATTCTAGAATCCTTAAAAAATGAATGAAATATATCGTTTGAATAGGCAATAGATGTACAGCACAACATTTAAAAGGTACAAGTGTGTTTGTGTGTGTGTATGTAAGAGTCCAAAGAACGGGGAGCAGGGGGGAGTAGGGGGGAGTAGGGGGTGGAAGCAACAGGTACCAAAGGACCGTAATTAGTACAAGGTACAATGTGATAAGTGTGGGAGAGAGTTCCAAGCTGTGACAGTATCACATAGTGGTCAGAACCTTTTTTCTGGAGACAGATTTGGCTTGCTCTCACTGTGACCCATGGAAATGACTGAACCTCTGTAAGCCTCTCTTTTTCCATCTATCAGAATGAACTAATAATAGTACTTACTTCATAGGTTTGTTGAAAGGAATAAATAAGACATACAAAGCACCTGGCACGGGACTTGCCTGGTGGTGTAGTGGTTAAGTGGTTAAGAATCCACCTGCCAGGGACTTCCCTGGTGGCACAGTGGTTGGAAATCTGCCTGCCAGTGCAGGGGACACGGGTTCGAGCCCTGGTCCAGGAGGATTCCATATGCCGCGGACCAGCTAGGCCCTTGCACCACAACTACTGAAGCCCACGCGCTCTAGGGCCCGCGTGCTGCAACTACTGAGCCCGCGTGCTGCAACTGCTGAAGCCCACGCACCTAGAGCCCGTGCTCCGCAACAAGAGAAGTCACTGTAATGAGAAGCCCGCGCACCGCAATAAAGAGTGGCCCCTGCTGGCCACAACTAGAGAAAGTTTGTGCACAGCAACGAAGACCCAGCACAGCCAAAAATAATTTTAAAAATAAGATAAAATTTTAAAAATAATAATAAAAAAAGAATCCGCCTGCCAATGCAGGGGACACGGGTTCAAGCCCTGGTCTGGGAAGATCCACATGCCGCGGAGCAACTAAGCCGATGCGCCACAACTACTGAGCCTGCGCTGTAGAGTCTGTGAGCCACAACTACTGAGCCTGTGTACCACAACTACTGAAGGCCGTGCGCCTAGAGCCCGTACTCCGCAACAAGAGAAGCCACCACAATGAGACGCCCACGCACAGCAACGAAGACCCAACGTAGCCAAAAATTAAAAAAAAAAAAAAAAAAAAGTGCATCTGAGGGTTTCCCTGGTGGCGCAGCAGTTGAGAGTCCGCCTGCCGATGCAGGGGACACGGGTTCATGCCCCGGTCTGGGAAGATCCCACATGCCGCAGAGCAGCTGGGCCTGTGAGCCATGGCTGCTGAGCCTGCATGTCCGGAGCCTGTTGCTCCGCAACGGGAGAGGCCACAACAGTGAGAGGCCCGCATACCGCAAAAAAAAAAAAAAAAAAATCCATTTGTGTTAAAAAAAAAAAAAAGCGCTTGGCACCTATTAGGCACTCAATAAATGTTACCTAAAAATCCAGTATTTTAGCTCTCAATAAATGCTGGCTATTATCACTCAACTCCACAGTCCCTGGCTGGAAAATTCACAACGCTGTGAAAACAGGACTTCTTTTTTAAGAAACAAATTTGGCGGCAAAACGTAATCTAAAGTGAGGCTAGGGGCTTCCCTGGTGTCTCAGTGGTTGGGAATCCGCCTGCCAATGCAGGGGACACGGGTTCGAGCCTTGTTCCAGGAAGATCCCACATACTGCGGAGCAAATAAGCCCGTGAGCCACAACTACTGAGCGTGCGCTCTAGAGCCCACGTGCCACAACTACTGAAGCCCGTGCGCCTAGAGCCTGCACTCGGCAACAAGAGAAGCCACCGCAATGAGAAGCCCGCGCACCGCAACGAAGAGTGGCCCCCGCTCGCTGCAACTAGACAAAGCCCGCGAGCAGCGGCGAAGACCCAATGCAGCCAAAAATAAAAATAAATAAATAGATACAACATTAAAGAAATAAAAAAAAAATTTTAATACAAAATAAAGTGAGGCTATTCGTCTGGTTTTGTATGAATATTCATAAGTGTACCCAAATTAATATGAATATTCATATGCTTTGCTACAGAAGTATCAGTATGTTTGGTTACTGAGTGCTGCCCAAGGTCTTGCTGGGAGTATGATCCTGTGATCCTGTACTCTTTTTTTTTTTTTTTTTTTTTTTTTGGGTTTGGGGGGGTGGCCTCTCCCGTTGCAGAGCACAGGCTCCGGACGCGCAGGCTCAGCGGCCGTGGCTCACGGGCCCAACCGCTCCGCGGCATGTGGGATCTTCCCGGACCGGGGCACGAACCCGCGTCTCCTACATCGGCAGGCGGACTCTCAACCACTGCGCCACCAGGGAAGCCCGATTCTGTACTCTTGATAGGGAGAAAAGGGAAAGCTTTTTTTTTGGATGGCTTGTTTTTGTTTTTTTGATGGCTTGTATTTTTTCAGCTTAATCTCAGTAAAGTCCTGAGGAATCCTCCCAGGATTTAAACTCACAGCCCCTTGATTCCTGCATATTCAAGGCCTTGTGGAAAGAAATGTTGAGCTTGGAGTCAGGAGGCCTGATTTTCTTCTTTTCACCAAGCTTCTCTAGGTTTGTTTTATTATCCCTATGGCAACGCCTAGCAAAAGTGCCTGGCATTTAGCAAGCCCTTCATAAATATATATCGAATAAACTCTAAAACGAGGTAGTTTTTCACTCGTAGTTCCTGATTCCTTCCTTCCTTCCTCTTGGTCCTGTGGCAGGCAGGGGGCAATGGCAGCCTGCCCTCCGTGGGTGAGGGTGCAGGAAGGATAAATCACAGAGACTTTAGGACAGGAAGGGCCCTAAGCGAGTCAACTCCTCTACTCAGCACCTCCCCACATGGAAGCTGGATCCCCAGTCCTACCCCTTGGGCACGTCTGAGGGTCGCTTTCCTAGATGTGGTAAATGGTCCTCCTCTCCTCCCCTTTCAACACTTGAAACTAAAATATTCCTTGGAATTGGATCCTCAACTGCATCTAGGAGTCCGGACCCGCCTCAGAACTTCCTCCCGCAAAGCGCGGGACCCGCGCAGGCCCAGTACCCTCGCTTGGCCGGCGAGCTCCGACCCCCGCCCGCCGTGGAGGACTGTGGGTGGACGCTCTTGCAGAGCGCCTCTCGCTGGTCGGGGCGGGGGTGGGCGGAGCCAATACCGCCCAGGCCGGGGAAGCGGAGGGTGGGGACACTCTGGCCCCGCTCTCGGTGGTGCGGGGAGCGGGAGGGAGCAGCGGCCGCTCTGGTCGGCGGACGTGCTGCCGAGCAGTCCCGGAAGCGAAGGAGCGATGGCGGAGAGTCCGACTGAGGAGGCGGCGACGGCAGGCGCCGGGGCGGCGGGCCCCGGAGCGAGCGGCGTCGCCGGTGTTGTTGGCGTTAGCGGCAGCGGCGGGTTCGGGCCGCCTTTCCTGCCGGATGTGTGGGCGGCGGCGGCGGCAGCGGGCGGGGCCGGGGGGCCAGGGAGCGGCCTGGCTCCGCTGCCCGGGCTCCCGCCCTCGGCCGCTGCCCACGGGGCCGCGCTGCTTAGCCACTGGGACCCCACACTCAGCTCCGACTGGGACGGCGAGCGAACCGCGCCGCAGTGTCTACTCCGGATCAAGCGGTGAGCCGGGGTTTTTCCTCCCCCAGCCCCGAGCTCCGGGGCTCGACCTTCCCCGCCGCCCCCACCCTGTCCCAGTACCACCCCCACTGCCCTCGCGGTGGCCCAGCTCCCAAGCCCACGTCTTGCCAGCCCGGAGCGTCGGGATCCAAGTCCCCTTTCCCCCCGCCCCCAGCCCCACACGCACCAAGCCCCTCCTCGCGTATCCAGGTCCGACCCCGCCCCTCGGTAACCTCCCTTGAGCCCTCTGTCTCCAGTTCGGACACCCTCCCCCACACCTCCCGACCTCCCGCCCGAAACCCGACCCTTCGGCGCTTCAGTAACACCCCCTCCCGCCCTCCGCACCGCCCCTCTCCCCGCTTCTCCACCCCAGCCCTGTTAGATGCAGCCCGGAGGCCCCACCCAGCGGTCCCCTGCGTCGTCTCCTCCCGAGCCCCATTTGTAAGACACACACACAGCTTGCTTTGCCCGGCCTGAGACGTCAGGCCATCCTGGCTTTATTCCCGGCCTCCTCAACCCCCTCCACAGAGTCCCCTCCCCAAGTCTAGGTCGCTTCCCACGCATGCCCGCAGCCTTCTCTTGAACCACTTTTCCAGAACCCCAAAGCTCTCTACTCTCACACCTGTTCCAGGAACTCAAGCTTCCATCCCCCCGCTGCCCTCCCACCCAGTCTCACATTGGCTTGTGATATCCCACTCAAGACTTTCTTTTCTGTATTCTTTCCTCTGAGTCATGTGATTTACTTTCTGAAGCAAATGTACCCAATTGAAATATAGGAACAAAGGCCCAAGTCCCTTCTGTGCTTATTTCTTGGGTGACTGGTCTCAGATCATATCATTTAATAGATAATGTTTTTGTGAAATTGCTTAGCATAGTACCTATCACATAGGAAAAGGGAATGCTTTTTAGCTGCTATTAATCCTGAAACCTGTTTGCTGATAGCCAGACTCTCTTTCCCCATGCCACCATCACAGTCATCCTCATCTAGGTAATCACATTCCCCACATTCCAAGTTCTTTCAGATGTTTTCTACCTACTTTCAAGGTTGTACTAAAAATTAAACAGCATACTGTGTGTAAAGTACCTGGCCCAGTGCCTGACACAGTTTGCCAACTCCATCAAGGTTGCCACCTCTAACTTAAGATACCCAGCACTCCTCAACTCTTGTACTCCTTCAGCCATTTCAGTCTTCCAATCGTAACATATCTCTGAGTTCTGCCAATACTTCTTTTTCTCCACTCTGTCGCTTGTTTGCACTTTTTTATGTCCCTCAGTACTGTAGCAAGTCCTTAGATTTCCCACCTATAGGCCCTTGCTCACAACTGATCCATTCTAGTTTATGAGCTATGACCTAGAAGGCCTCTCATCTTCTATAGTAATGACTTCATGTCACCCTCCACCTGTGAGATTCTCAGCAATTTCAGAGGGTCCCCATCCCAACCTGAAGAGGTCTGTACACTATTAGTCTCCTGGGCAAGAAGGCCATTATTGCTCCCTGCTAGCTCACTTGCTTCACATAATCCCCGTGCTAACAACGGTCCACTGTGTGGTTTATGGAATTAGTTTTTTAGTGGAGTTGATTATGCCTTCCCAGTTACCGAGAAATCTTCATTTAGCATTCAGCCGTAGTACCTGGGAATCTCGGAGGTGGGGAGTGAATGAAGTGCCATGTGGGAGGAAATGAGAGTAAATGGGATGTGGCTTTTCCAGGGTGACATTGGATACCATTGGGATCTCTGATTTTTTTTTCCCCCTCTCCCTTCCCTCCCCCTGAGGAAACAATGCCCCTTTGATGATAATTTGCTCTCTGCTTGCCTGACAAATACTCAGCTGAGATTTCTCAGCCAACAAGACGGTGCAAACATTTGTGGTTCCAAGCACCACTTTCTCGGAACCCTGGCCTCACTGAGGTGGTAACAACTGTCCTGCTCAAGGGATTCCCCTTTTTTCTCCTCTCCCTCACTCCCTCCCCCACTTCCTCTTGGTGTTATACAGGGATATCATGTCCATTTATAAGGAGCCTCCTCCAGGAATGTTCGTTGTACCTGATACTGTTGACATGACTAAGGTATGTACCTTGGTGGGGTTTGGGGGTTATTGGGAAATTGGGCCCATAAAGTTGAAAGAGCCTAAAAGAGATTATCCAGCTCACATCTCTGATTACACAGATGAATAAATCAAAACCCCAAGAGAGTAAGTGGCTTGCCCAAGGTCACACAGTGAGGTGGAGCGGAGCCTTGAACAGGTATCTGTTTTGGGGTGCCAAAAGGTCCTGGTTGGCTTGGAAAAGCCCAGTTTATGCCTGTTGTCCAAGCTTAATTATTAATAGAGCACTCTTTACCTCTCAAAAATGCTCCAGTTTGGATGATAAATTATATGGTCACCCTATTGTACTAGCCAACTCTTCCCCCATCCTGCCACTCTTGACCTTTAAGTGTGGTGCTGTAAGTCAGATGCCAAGAAGGTTGGGGATGGGACAAGGTTGAGTGAACAGTGTTTGTAGTTACAGGGCCTTGTTTAGGCTCCTGTCCTTACTGATTGCTTTTGAATATCCTTTCCACCCCAAAGACCGTTCCTCTCTTGTCCACACACAGACACAAGAGAAAGCTTAAATTCCTCTGGCATAGATACCTAGACTTCTCTGTCATTGATTGCTCTACCCTGAGAAGTGAATTTTTACTTAAACTGATATCGGGAAGAAATCAGATTACCTAAATCTAGTGTTGTTTAAATGAAAACTCCTTGTAGTGTCAAATTTCTTATAGTAAAAATTCAGATTTGGTATTACTTGTGTGTCTGTTTTGTTTTGAATAGGTTTCCCTTTAAATTGATTTTTTTCTTTTTATGTGGTTGGAAATGTTTTTCCTGGGACATCTTGTTCTTAGTCAAGTATTAGTGTTAATATGCTAGTCCCTGGGGTCCCAGAATTGATGTCATGTTGATATCATTTGAGCTTGCTATTCCAAATGACTGAAGGCTAAAAGATAACATAGGATGCCACCAGGGCAAGGTGGGGACTATAGACAGAGACACTGGATTGCAGTACCTTTTTCCTCTTGCTGTTTAAATTCTGAGCAGACTTAAGTGCCTAGGAGCCTTATGTAGATGAAGAAATATAACTGAGTCAGTTAGGTTTTCTTCCCTTCAACAAGGGAAGTCTTGTTCAATAAATCACAGCTGGAGGAAGAGAACTTAGCATTTTGTTTCAAGTGCTGCTGATTTTTTTATATTATTATTAACCTACAGTGTTGGGAAAGTTCTGGGGATAGTCTATGGCTCCGAGTGGACCCTGAGTTTCCCCATTTTTCTTTGTATCTTTCACACAGCCGGATGCTACCTGAGCCACATCCTCCACAGTAGGTTTGATCCTCTGCGGAGGAGACAGATACCGTAGGCCTCCATCACAACCCTCAGCTCTGCCCTGTGACTGGCACTGGTGCTGTGGCCTCCAATCCCTTTCTTCTTTTCCATTCATCTCCGCCCCTTTGTGCCACATAAATGGAGGGTGGAGTTGCATCGTACGCATGTTTAACCTAGGCAAATCCAAAAATTTCTTAAAATTAAGCATGCTAGGACAGTGTTTTACAGATGTATATTATGTTTTGCACGTTGGTGTTCTATCCATTTGTTATATAAAATACTGATCAGGGAAGTCCGAACAAAAAACGTGCTTTAAGGGAGTTTTAAGGGACACTCAGGGGTGATTTTGGCTAGATTCAATTTTCACCTTGGGCTCTAACTTTAGAATGTAACCCCTGAGTAAGATGCCACTACACTGTAATGGGGTTTCTTAAAATTTCAAAAATATTTGTTAGTGTGAGTGAGCACAGGCTATTCATTTTTCATGGTGAGGATATGGAATATGGATGCAGATGAAGGTCCTGCTTCTGGCATGGGTAGCAAGTGGAAGCCAGGAGGGTTTGGGATGGGACATCACCTCACAATTTTGAGATGGGGTTTTATTTTGCAGATTCATGCATTGATCACAGGCCCATTTGACACTCCTTATGAAGGGGGTTTCTTCCTGTTCGTGTTTCGGTGTCCGCCCGACTATCCCATCCACCCACCTCGGGTCAAACTGATGACAACGGGCAATAACACAGTGAGGTTTAACCCCAACTTCTACCGCAATGGGAAAGTCTGCTTGAGTATTCTAGGGTAAGAGGAGACTTCTAAGTGGCCAAGTTGGTTGTTAGCAAATATTACTCTAGGCCAGCCTTCATCAACCAGGGTTTCTCATCTGAATCACAGGACACAGAAAATGATTGGAGTGACTGTTTCCTCAATTCTCCCCCGGATGGTACTTGATTACTGTCATTCTAGATGCAGAAAAAGAAGTTAATTCATGACGTACAATGGATGCCTTAGTGAAGTGGTTCACCCCGAGCAGCAGTAGCATCTGGGAATTTATAGCCGTGTAGAGTCTGGGCCCCCACCCTAGAATTATTACATCAAGAATTCTGGGGGTAGGGCCAGCAGTCTGTGTCTTACAGGGTCTCCAGGTGATTCTGGTGCAAACTGTTGGAGAACCACTCCCTTAGGGCATCAGGGCTTAATTCTCTCCTGAGCAGGTTGAGAAAGGCTGCAGATCCTGTGCCATTCAAGGCTGTAAATGTCTTATTTCTGAGTCTCTCGTGAGTGGCTTTGGAGGCAGTGGTGGTGATGATGATGATTATGTTTTAGCAACTGAATGAAAAATGTCTGAGGTTGGAAGTCACATCAGATATGAAACACAGATGTTTCAAGTACATTTTTGTTTCTGGGTGCTACCAAGATTTTGCTTCATGCAGTTCTCATCCATTCCCTTTTAATCTCCTTCGGGAGTTAAAAATTCGGAATGGAAATATCTTCTAGCATATTCTGGATTGGTCTTTTAGTGTGGTCTGAATTTCCCCGGGGCATAGAACAAGTAGAAGTTGAAGTTAAGCAAGCTGCCCAGACCGGTGACACTGTTCTCTTTCTTCCGGCCCAATCCAATATGTTTTTAGGTTTGTGCAGGGAAAAGGCAGCTGAAACAAACTTCTCCCTCTGCCCAGTTCTCTCAGATCGAAGAATACGTTCTGTGATTGCCGCAGTGAGAAGGTCCTTTGAAGGAGGTTGTCCTTAAAGAAGTCCTTTATCTCGTTAGGGTATAGAATTATCTGTGCTGGAAGGATAGTGGTATATATAAACCACAGTGGTAAGGAAACTTAGTTGTTGTTTCTGTATGAAAGTTGTTCTTGAAAGTGTTTTTGTATTAGGTTTTCCTTCATTAGGCCAATACAAAACTATTTCGAGCAAACATCAGTTCACGGTAGAAACGGGATGTAAGATGGTGGGGTAAAAGTGGCAGAAGTATTGGGTGCAAAAGGAGAAGCTACTCTGAATTTGAAAATTTGCCGTCAAGAATCAGAGTAGAAAATTCCCATGCGTACTTAGTTGACTATTCACTTTAACAGCTGCATTCCTTTCCTCCCTACCTAGAAAAAAATACTGGGCTGGCTTACAAAAGAAATTGAATGAGTTTACCCTGTTGACTTCAATCCCCGAATACTAGATGCTTCAGAGAGCACAAGGTCTAGGGTTCCTGGGGGTCCGAAGCTGACAAGAGAGGTTGAGAGGCACTGAAGAGCGAGCTCTGAGGAAGTTACTGTTCCCCATTACTTACTGGCCTTCCCTCAAGGCCAGCAGGGAAAGGGAAGTGGCGAGTTAACTTGAACAAGCCAGTCCTGGTTCAGGTTGTGTTCAGCTTCCAGCTCAGGTGCCATCTCTTCAATTAATTGAGTTAAAAATAAATGTCCTTAATGTCCAAGCTTCCCTCCTTCTCCCAACATTCCATCAGGCATATGAAAGAGGAGCAATTTTGGTGTTTCTCTGTTGTTGAAGATGTTGTTCATGTATTATTTTCAAACCCTCCACACTCTAGAAGTGCCCCTTATGCCCTTTCTGTCCTTTGGCAGAGTTCTGTAGTTTTCAGAGGATTTGACACTCTTTGGGGGTTTGATAGAGAGCTGGATCCCCGATCATCAACCCCACCACATGGCCTCTAACCAGGGAGCTTCAGTCCCTTCTCTGCCTCTGTGCTCAACTTCTCTCTCCTCTCTGACTCCATCACCACCCATAAATAAATAAGCTCTTTAAGATCCATAGAGGTTGACATTTAGATTGCCTTCGGAGCTGTTTTCTTACCTTATTTCTCATTTTGATGAAGGGAACCTTCCCTGGCTACTGTTTTCTCCTAGCCCAAAGAAAATCCCTTCAAAGTTACTTTGCTTGCTTTGCCCTCTTTTGTGACACTTGATAAGAGGATTAGGCAGTTGAGTGATTTCTGGTGAATGAGGGTGAGATGGAGGCTGGGAAATTCCAGAGTATTAATAGTGAAAGAGAAAGTGAGTCACTTATGATGGTCCTGCCAGGCCCCGGGGTACTCGTACACTGGTCTTTCTGTACGGCCTTTCCCGTCTCTCTCTGCCTCACCCTCTTCCCTTCCCTCTCATGTGTTTTGCAGTACGTGGACTGGCCCTGCCTGGAGCCCAGCGCAGAGCATCTCTTCCGTGCTCATCTCCATTCAGTCCCTGATGACTGAGAACCCTTATCACAATGAACCTGGCTTTGAGCAGGTAAGGCCAGGTGGGCCCAGCTTTGGGGTGTAGAATATTGGGTTTTAAGAGATCTGAAAGATCTACTTGAGGGTTTTTGTTTTGTTTTTGACCTGGCTCAGCCCCATGTATTAAACTCGTCGCTGTGGGAGAAAAAAGGAGCTGGCATGTGTGTGCCTTAATAATGAATTTTTTTCCCTATTAAATTACAATAACATTGTCAAGTTATTTCCATTTGACTTGGATTAAAGTCAGTGGAGTCATTTGGAAATTGATTTTGCGTCTGTTTGGGGCTCTTGGAGCCAGTGTGTTCTTCTGTGTGCCTCCATTCCGTTCCCCAGTATCCCTTTAAGGTGCTCCCTAGTGGCTGCCGCTGAGCCAGACTTTCTTTTGGAGTTCCGAAGTACTGTCACCTGCAGAGCCACAGGAGCAGCTCATGGGCTGCAGCAGGGATGTTTAGCCAGTGCCGCCAAACAGAAGGTGGAGAAAACTCACAATTTCCAAGGTGTACTATATGCTGGCCACTTCCAAACTTTTATATGTAACTTCTCATTTAATCCTCATACTAACTCTGCAAGATAAATGTTATCCCCATTTTCAGCTGAGGTAATGGCGACTCGGAGAGGTTAGTTAACTTTCACAAGGACACACAGATCAGGATGTAGTCCCAGGAGCCCAAAGTCTTCCATTGTTTCAAAGCCCCTTCCAGATTACTCATGAGCACAGGAAAAGAGTTCCAGTGATATTATCAAAAGATATAATAATTCAGTTTAAATGATTAAAACGGCTTAATTCGTTTTGAAACTATTTGAGATAACACTAACATTGGTGATTCTTCTGTAGTCCTAAACAAAGGGAAATACCCTTTAAGAATGAACAGAAATTATTCCCTAAGCCATCCTTTCAAACAAATAGTGAATGTGATTTCAGGAGTAGGTGGAAATGGAAACGGACCTCATTGGCTAACCAAGGAGCTGATTTTTACGTCTTGTTTGGAAATTCAAGAGATGGGACTTTTATTCTTAAAACTACCAAACATTCTTGGTTCACAGAACCTTGTCTTGGTAGTTTTTTTCACAGTTCCCCAGGCAGAAAGAAATGCCACACTGTTCCATTTGTTAAGTAGTTAGGTCCAAACAACTTACTTCCTTCTCAGGTGACTACACTGACTTAATAGGATGTGTACACCTGTTCAGTGCCACACAACTTTTAAAATCTTGGAATCAGATCAGAGCCACCACCCTCATTTCTGTTCCCTCCTGTTTTCATATGCTACTTGCTATTTATTAAGTAGTGACTAAAAATCCAGATTTGTGAAAACAGTATGTCATCAAAAGGAATGTAATACACTTCAACATTAAAACTGAACTACCTAGGGCTTCCCTGGTGGCACAGTGATTGGGAATCCGCCTGCCGGTGCGGGTGACGCGGGTTCATGCCCCGGTCCGGGAGGATCCCGCATGCCGCAGAGCGGCTGGGCCTGTGAGCCATGGCCGCTGAGCCTGCGCGTTCGGAGCCTGTGCTCCGCAACGGGAGAGGCCACAGCAGTGAGAGGCCCACGTACCATCAAAAAAAAAAATAAAAATACTGAACTACCTATCTCAAGGTAGTAGTTTGCATGGAGTTTCACAGGTGTTGAATACTGTGGTTTTCCTCAAAAAGTTTACAGTATCCCACAGTGCCCTTGTGATTTCGCTGTGGTGCACATTGGGAACCGTGGTGGTAGGCTGAAGGCATGTGTGTATTTCCTGTTCATTACATGTTTTGATCAGAGCCAAGGCTCTGATTGACTAGAGTTGGTGATGGGAGGGGGGAACAAGGGAAGAGTTAAAGTGTGGAACGCCATGCTCCCGTCTGTTCACGCCCACATGTTCCTGTCAGCTCTCCAGACCAGGTTCAGAGTTTTTTCTTTTGAAAACTTCAGGTTCTACTTCTGATAGACAATAGTTGAATTCAATAATGGTGGAATCCACAGATGTGTAAAGGAGTTAACCAGGGAGCATCCTGATATCTATAGGTTTTTCAGGCTAAGACTCCTAGCATTTATACCTTTTTGTCCCACCATTATCCTTATACATGGTTATTTCCCACTTAATCCTTCCTGCGAGGCCTTTCATTTCAGGCTTAGGGAAATTTGATGGATGTGGTTTGCTGCTTATAGGTCAAATGACCCATAACAGAGGATGGGTACTGGTATGTGTGGCTAGGGGGGGGTCTAGGGTGAAGGGGGATATCTGGAAGGGTATTACCAACTAGTGCAGAGGTATTTCAATATGAGTGGTAGGCTGAAGGCATGTGTGTATTTCCTGTTCATTACATGTTTTGATCAGAGCCAAGGCTCTGATTGACTAGAGTTGGTGATGGGAGGGGGGAACAAGGGAAGAGTTAAAGTGTGGAACGCCATGCTCCCGTCTGTTCACGCCCACATGTTCCTGTCAGCTCTCCAGACCAGGTTCAGAGTTTTTTCTTTTGAAAACTTCAGGTTCTACTTCTGATAGACAATAGTTGAATTCAATAATGGTGGAATCCACAGATGTGTAAAGGAGTTAACCAGGGAGCATCCTGATATCTATAGGTTTTTCAGGCTAAGACTCCTAGCATTTATACCTTTTTGTCCCACCATTATCCTTATACATGGTTATTTCCCACTTAATCCTTCCTGCGAGGCCTTTCATTTCAGGCTTAGGGAAATTTGATGGATGTGGTTTGCTGCTTATAGGTCAAATGACCCATAACAGAGGATGGGTACTGGTATGTGTGGCGGGGGGGGGCGGGGGTGAGTAGTCTCAAGGACTTAGTTGCTCTTCATGGATCTGACTTATAGTGGGAAAGGTATCCTCTTAGTTCATTTGCTTGGGTCACGTACCCCATACTAATCCTAAAATCTCTTCCCATTGGCTTTTCTTTTTACCTAAATTTTGTACTTGGATACTGTGGTGTCTGTCACATTATAGGAGAGACATCCAGGAGACAGCAAAAATTACAATGAATGTATTCGGCATGAGACCATCAGAGTGGCGGTCTGTGACATGATGGAAGGAAAGTGTCCCTGCCCTGAACCCCTACGGTATGTGTGAAGAGAGCCCACTTGGTACTTGGTATTCCTTTTGGATATTTAGCTTGTTTGTACATTTGAGAACCTTTGCAGTAAAGTCCAGTGTTGGGCACCAGAGAAAGAGAAAAAGGAAAGATGTGGTTCATGCTTTTAAAGAGCAAGTGACCGAGGGGTTACCCAAAAGGAAGTTCAGAGAGCTTTTTGGTTCCTGGAGAGTGCCGAGCCTGATGGGAAAGACATAGTCCATGCCTTCAGGGAGCCCCTGTTTGACTAAAGACACTTAACTGTTGTACAGCCAAATGAGGTGTAGAGTACTTCATAATAAACCCATTTCTTAGGGTTCAAGTTTATTTCTAGGTGTTAAAAACTAGATGAGCAAAGAGCTAATGAAACAAACTTTTCTAGGAAATGGGGGGGCAGCGGTTTTTTCTTTCTTTTTTCTTAATTGACGTATAGTTGATTACAGTGTTTCAGGTGTATCTAGGAGAATTTTGAGTAAGGTTTGGGATTAGGGATGGCCTGTGGAAAACGAATGAGAATGAGCAAGTCATGAGTTGAAGTTGGAGTTCAAATGATCAGTATTAACAGTCGCTCTCATTTTATAATCCTTAGGGTATAAGGGAAATCAACCATGTGCAGTCAGCTGTTTCTTTTTCCATTTTCCATTGAAAGATCTTTGTAGGAAACCAAATCTGGTCTTGGGAACTCTAGCTGCTGAATTTGGCATTAAGGTTAGATGGTGAAGGGGTGGTGCCTTCCCCTCTTGTTCCTAAGTGAAGCTTCTCTGCTTGTTTTCCAGAGGGGTGATGGAGAAGTCCTTCCTGGAGTATTATGACTTCTATGAGGTGGCCTGCAAAGATCGTCTGCACCTTCAAGGCCAGACTATGCAGGTAACAGAGCCCCTGCTGCTGACTCCAGAGACCGTACAACAGACCATGTAAACCCCCCTCACAAGGGTGACATCCGCATCTCTCATAAGAGTTCAGAGCCAAAAGGAACCTGGTGCATTGAGTAGCTGAGGCCCAGAGAGAGACTGAAGTCATATGGAGTTGGTTCTAGGTTCCTGGCATAAAGTAGGTACTCGAGAGTAGAATCTGAATCATCCTGCTTTCTAGCCTGGAACTCCTTCCCTTCTTGGTCAGTAGTCTTTTCAAACCAAGAACATTCAGCCCTCTCAGAACTTAGGGATTATGAGAGTCATCTGTTGGAATTCCATCCCTAGCTCAGGGGGGTGCTAAGAGAAGGAATGCTTAGGGAAACATTGGATGTGCAATTATTGTTGAAAGAACCTCATACAAGGATGGTAACCAGTTGTTCATTCTCTGCCTCTACTGGGGAAATGTGCTTCTGCTTCTAATAAGAATGCAGAATTTAGACTTGCTTAAAAGAAGAGGTTCTTATTAAACCGAATTGTAAATAGGATCCAATATAAGCGACTGGTTGAGAATCTTCCTGTCCTGAAGGGCCAGTCCTGTGTCTCTTGGATCATTTACTTGCTTAGAAAAGTGGTGACTTGGGTAAGTGGCTAAAGCCTCTTCAGGTTCTTTCCACTTCTTTTTGGTCTGTGTTCCCACCCACCCAGCACCACCAGCAGTGGGAGTAACTGTTTTGTTTCCTCAGGTGCTGCTCAGAGATGGTAGCTTCCCTATCCTCCCCTCAAGGACTTCCCTCCTACGTGCCGCATTTAAACTCAAAGGGCAGGACCAGCTCAAGGCTTACTTGTTTCCTGAACCTTTTTTGAGAATATATCGAGGATGATGCATGCTGTAGCTTGTTCCCCATCAGGAATTATCATTGCTGGTATCGAGCAGCATTTCTAATATTCAGTCTGTGAAGGAAAACCAACTCATGACGAGGGAAGGACAGGGAGGAGCAGCATCTGGGGAGGCGGAGAATGGGTCGAAATGGAGCCAGTGAGGAAAGGAGGAAGATTTGGGAAATTGACAGCTCCAGAGTAAGTGTGGAGTTCAGTTTTGAGAGAACGTAACCCTCAAATGTGAAAAGTATGGGCTGTAGTCGCAAGAGACTGACTGACCTCCACTGGCCCTTGATCACGCTGGTGACGTGTGCGCAGAAGCGTGGAAGGAGTTTAGGCGGGAGAAGCAGACATTGTGTGAGAGGGAAAATCATGGACTTTTTTGTAACTGCCAAGGAAAGAGGTCTCCACTTGTTTGAACCCTGGGCAAGCTACTTTGCTGCCGTAATCCTTATTTAGCATTTTAAATTTCTTTTTTTATACCCTTCACCCCACCCATAGTTATTTTTGAGATTTTAAGGACAGTTAACCCTTTTCCACGTAATGTTTGGTTATCTTTGATCTCGAATGACAAGGACTGGAGTGATGCCCAGAAACCTGGACAGGAATGTGATGACTGGCCCGTGGGGAGGAGGGCAGGTGCTTATCCGAAGTCAGAACTCCTTCATTCTAGACCTGCCTGTGATCTCAGAAAAGCAAATTACCCTTTTTGAGTATAGGGAATGAAGGATAATTTTCCCCTTATATAGTTTGTATGAGGTTAGTTGAAAACACCAGCACACTTAATGATTACAGTCCTGGTCTTGAATTTCTCTTCCCTATCTATCTCACCGTTACTGTGTCCCCCTTCTGCACAGTGGCTTGCTTTGGAGGAATGCAAACACATTTTAATGTTGGCCCAAGCCAGACCTATCTGGGGTGGTGAACGTGCTGCGATATTCCTAAACAAAGATGATGTTGTCTGCTGTTGGGAACTCTCTGTGCTATGCCCCCTTCTGTCCCCATGCTCAGAAGTTGAGCGTGTGTTTCACATGGGCCTAAAGCTGCTCTGTCTAGGGTGAGCCACCCAGACTTGAATCTTCCTTCCCGCTTGTCTCCTTTCCCCCACAGGACCCTTTCGGAGAGAAGCGGGGCCACTTTGACTACCAGTCCCTCTTGATGCGCCTGGGACTGATTCGTCAGAAAGTGCTGGAGAGGCTCCATAATGAGAACGCCGAAATGGACTCTGATAGCAGCTCGTCTGGGACAGAGACAGACCTGCACGGGAGCCTGAGGGTTTAGACCCTGCTCCCCTCTCCCCTCCCCCCACTCGAGAGTCCCAGCAAAGTCCCTTCCCCCCACCCCAGGGATGGAGAGGCACTTGTGTATCTCCCTCCAAATGTGACATCATCCCGCAAGATGGCAAGAACCAAGCAAGCTTGGATCCCAGGGTGTGGAAGTGGGGAAGCTGTTCCCGATCTGACCTCCTTGGCTCTCGAGCATCTGGGGCTGTGTTCATCCCATATCAGGGGCCAAGGTACCTATGCAGGAGCACCTAGGGCGAGGGCCTCTGGCAAAAACAAAACAACCAACACACCTCTCCACAGGGCCAGCTCCTTAGGGACAGGTGGAGACAGAAATTGCAATTCCTAGAGGGAGTGTGCCCAAATGATTTATGGGGATATCTGGAAGGGAGCTTGGGGTGGGGGGCTGTCTGTGACACTTAAGCAGTCTGGGTGGTTGTCTGTCTGTCTTCAGTTTTGAAGCAGGGCTTCCCAATGCCCTTTTCCTCCCTGCCTCTTTACCCCCGTTATTTCCCACAGGCCAGCATAATTTTGTTTTTCCTAATTTATAGTCACTGTTCTAGACAGACCAAAGAGAAGGAACAGTGGTGGAGTCTAGGCTGCTGATGAGTAAGCTTTACCTAGCACCTGAGCACCTTTCTCCTCTGCCCCCCATTCCCTCACCCGTTCTAGATTTAAGACAGAAGGTAAATGTGACTGGGCCTGAACCAAGGTCTTGGTAAAGCCTGCACAGGCACCATAAGAAGCTGAAAATGCCGTTTGTTCCCGCAATCACCGATTTGAAAAGTTCCCAATGCAGACAACTGTTGTGTGTTTGGGATTAGAGCCACTACATAGAACAGTCTCTTACAGATTTTTCATAAATACTAGTCACAATGAGGGTATTACTCCTGGGGGTGGGGTACAGGGGGGAGGCTGATGCTAGTCCTATTGTATTTTGTTTGGCTGTCCTTGTGTGTTTTCACCTCAGCCTGTAGTCCCCCTCCTCACTTCAAAGCCCAGGGAGGGGGCTTCCGTGGTGGTGGGGCTTCCGTGGTGGCGCAGTGGTTGAGAGTCCGCCTGCTGATGCAGGGGACACGGGTTCGTGCCCCGGTCCGGGAAGATCCCACATGCCACGGAGCGGCTGGGCCCGTGAGCCATGGCCGTTGAGCCTGCGCGTCCAGAGCCTGTGCTCCGCAACGGGAGAGGCCACAACAGTGAGAGGCCCTGCGTACTGCTATTAAAAAAAAAAAAAAAAAAGCCCAGGGAGTTGTGGGGAGCAAGGGTGGCCAGTGGCAGGGGGGATTGGGGCAGGGACTCTGAAGACTCTTCTCCCCCCCACCCCCAACTGCTTTGTCACTGACTCTGGTGGGTGTTTGCCTGGCTGTGTCGCTTCTCTATTTAGCTGCAGTGATCCTTTATCTGGTTGGCTCAGAAAAATGCTTTAGGTGCCCTGTGACACTGGGCATCAAGGGAACCCATCCTTCCCCTTTTTGATGTGTTCTCCTGTACTTTCCAGATTCTTACTGATAGGTCTCCCAGTGGGGTATTGGTGATCCACATGACACAGGGCCTCAGTCAGTATCCAGCCACATGTAAGGGAGAGGATAACTTGTACCTGCTCTGCCCGCTGCTAGAGAGGCCTTTGCCTTGTGGGTCATGAGACTTCCTGGGGAAGTTGGGAAGCGGGTTGGGCACAAAGGAGAATGTCCTACTTGGGAGGGCAGGAAGCAAAGGAACTGGACAGGAAGTGGGCTTGGGGGATAGAAGTGTAGCTTTGAAACCTGAAGGCTGGGCCTCTTCACAAGAAGACTCAAGAAGGGGCCCTGCTTCCAATTTCCCTCTTCCATTCCCAGAGCTAGTACAGGGCTTGGAAGAATGCCCTTGGTCTGTTGGTCCAGTGTTACCTGTCATACATTTAAGTGTTCCCACTTTCGAGTGACAATCCTCTCCTTGGTCCTGCCATGGGCAGAGCATGTCTGGCGTACTAGCCTGACTTTTACGTCCTAATCTTGAGTTGAGGAAATATATGCACAGGAGTCAAAGAGATGTCTTTATATCTGACTGTACATAAATGAAGTTTTTTTTTTTTTTTCTTTTTGGTGCAATAAAGTTTGTTTTGGCAGAAGGAGGAAGCGCCTATGGGTGTGGGAGGGTTTGTGTAAGAGGAAGAACGGGATTGTTTTGACAGCCACACCTCTCACCTAGGCCTGAAACTGTCAGGGATAAAGATAGTGCTCAGTGGAAGCCAAAAACTTGGGTTATGTGGTGTGGGTGGAAGCAGGACTACTGGTGGCAAAAGTTCCCATCATTAAAAAGTAGGGAAAAAAAAAAAAGAAATAGGGTCCTTTTTTTGAGGCTGTAACTTTGGCAGTCAGGAGAGGAACGCCTTAGCCTGGGCTGCTTCGAAAGAAATACCTGTTCAGGAAGTGAGCTTTTCCTCAAGGACAGGCAGAGGTAGAGATGGGCTCAGGCTATATATCCCCTTGCTAAGGGAAAGGTGTCTTAGTATGGATAGTCCAAACCATTGGGTTTTCAGTTTTCTGATACCAAACTACCCCTTCTTAGGAATTCAGAATTCAGACCATGAAGACGGGGCTTAATGCTGGCCTCCCAGCTCATCACCTTCTCTATTTGCTATAGAAGGCTCTTGCTTTCTGGTAGAGGCTTTTCCTCTTGGCTGACCACGTGTGTCGGGAGAAATTATACACAAAATGTCCTGCCAACCTGTGCCCCGCAAAGCTGCGTACAGGAAAGCGGGGGCCCGCAGGGGCTAGTGGGCCTAGGCTCTAGCTTTGACTCTGCTTAAGGTGGTGCCCTCTGGTCAATTAGATTCCTCACCTGCCAAAGTTAAGGACACCTATTTAAGATTGTGAGGACTATACAAGGTGCATATAAAACTGGGTGTCTGGTAGGTGTTCAATAAATGATTCCCTTTCCCACCCCTAAGGTTAGAGGGATGACCTGATGATCACTATAGGAGGAAAAGGTAGTAAGGAATTTGAGAAATACTGCATCCACTACTGGTTAATTCCCCTCAAATTAAATTTTCTTTTCTGTAACCACCATTTAACATTGACCTCTATTTCCTTCATACTCATAGCTGAGTCTGCTGCCATAACCTGGAACCTCTACAAAGGAAGCTGGAAGAGACTGAAAGAGTGACTATTTACTGGTCCGTTAGGGTCTGCTCGTTTGAGATAAGGAACATTTTATGAGGAAGGGGTTTGAATTAACAGAGGCTATAATTTATGTCTCAGGGCCACAGAAACTAGACTGTCTAGCCAGGAGACAGAAGGCCTTCATTCTAGGCCCAGCTCTACCGTGAACTTGTAGATGACCTGTGCAAGTCATTTTATACATGTTCACTGTTATCTGTGTTGCTCAGGTTATCCTTAGCGGATAAAAAAGGTTTTCTCCAATAAAGATGCAATGTGAAGGCACTTTAAAAAAAAAGTAATGGCTGAAGAATACTGGGGGAAGAAAAAAATTGGAATTTTCTTGGTTTTTTGGTTCTTTTTTAAAACAAAGTTGTCGAGGTTTTATTCACCACCAGCTCCTCCCTCTTCTCCCGGCCTGCTGCTGTGTCCCCTTCCACATTCCCAGTCAGGGGAGGGCTTCTCTGGCCTCCTCAGCTGTAATCTCCTGGGAGTAGAGGTCAGTGAAGAGAGCTGGCAGCCAGTAGTGGGCCTCCCCTGGGGCCTGCAGGTCCAGCCAAGCCAGCCCTTCCTTCAGCAGGTGTTCCTGGCAGAAAAAGGAAAAGTCAATTGAGAAAGGGGAGTTTACATAATGTAGGGTAGATAATCCTCAAACCTATCTTGGCTTCAGTGGGGTTTTCAAACTAAATCTACAAGAGTGCCTTCACATATTTACACAGCCAAATTAGAATGACTTGTTTAGCCTAGATCTTTGCCTGAGGTGTGAGAAACGCCACCAAGTTGCTTCATCTGTGCTGCTGGGAAAGAGGATAACGACAGAGTGGGATGTTGTGGAAGGAAGGCTACAGAAATATTTGCTGCATGGCTCTGAGCAGATCACTAACTCCATTCCCCAAAACAACATGGAGATCAGTACCTTTCAGTTAACTTATGGAGTAACAGACAGCTAGGGGGAAACCTTTTTGGAAAAGTTAATGGAAAAACCATACGAGTATTAGAACGGACTCACAGTTCCTATAGCTGGAAGTATGCTCCAGATGGGCTGGTTCTACCCAGTATCATTAAATGTTTATGTTATCCCCACTTCACAGATGAAGCTGAGTCTATAGTTCAACTGCCTGGGTAAGGAGAAAGGTATTGAAAGCCAGGGTTCCTACGTGTTCATGCCACTCCCTCTTCACAACATCAGTCTTTCATTAGGACCATGAAATGTATATATATAAAACTATGTGTAAGGTGCACTATAATAGCATATAATTATAGCCATGTAGTTATCATCAGTAGTTAACAGTTCCCTTCACTCTGTACTAACAGTGTTACTTCCAGTACAAGCCACATTAACCATCTGACCAGGCTTTACAGGTCAGCAGAGAGAGGCATTGGTGACTCCCCAGTGGCAGTGGCAGCCTGGCTGTACCCATGTGCCAAGGCTGGAAGCCTGCCTTTGTGAGTTCTACCTCTCAGTGCCATCTTCAGAGAAATGCTGGGGTTACTTCTGGTGTGGCAGCAGCAGCCTTCCAGGCAAAAAGTCAGCAGAGAGAGAGAGGCCAAAGCTCTTGCCTGTGTGGTACCTGTCTACCTTCCTCCTCCCATGTGGGGCCCATCTTTTCTGGGCCATTCCAAAAGTCACATACCAGCACTTGCCGCGCTCGCTCCGTCTCCCATTTAAGACTGGCTTTGATGTCACTGACAGTCACATAGCCATTTTTCTGAAGGAAGGAGGAATGGGGACTGCGTCAGTTAAGAGTGTGCTTTCCCTTAGAATCCAGCATCTGCCCAGGGACAATTAATTTACCCAGGCAGGAGGGGGAACTGCCCTTGGGTGAAGCCTAAGAGAGCATAGAAGAATGTTTAGAGGTCC